AACTAACTAACAAAAAAAATAAATATTTTATTTTTTGTTTGTTTGTTTGAATAGTCAAAAAACTAATTGAATTATTAAAAAAAAAATTTTTAATATAACACAAAAAAAATAAATTGTAATAATTTTTTTTCTTTACACAATCACTACACACTGGGTGTGTAAAAGTCATATATAATTACAATATAATTAGTTTTATTAATGAGTAAAACAAAACGTTACACATTTATATTGACTTTAAGTTTTTTATTTGATAGTTTGCCACAAAATATAATCAAAATCTATTAAACCATAAAAAAATAATATAATAGTAGTGGAAAAAATGATATTTTATTATTTCAATTTAGTTTATTATTAGTGTTATAATTATTTTGATGTTTCACGTTTAAAATCATAATCAGCATATATATACTGTATTTATATGTATATATTGTACATTAGTATTGTTTGTATTATTATAACTACTAAAATTATAATTTTTATACTTAATAAAATTAAAAAGTATTGATATATATATAAAGATAAATTTTAAAAATATATTATGTTTTTCAAAAACATTTGACAAATAAGTAAATGTTTATATATGTAGTAAAATCCTGTATAACTTATAAAAATCAATATTATTTATACAAATGTCTTGAAAATTAATACAGTTTTAATACAATATATTAACTGTTAACTGTAATATATATATATATATATATATATATATATATATATATATATATATATACAAACAAAATATAATCATTTAATTATAGTGTAAAATATATACAATATTTAGTATATATATATATATATATAAAATACATTAAGTAATCATACAATTGTTTTTTGTTATTAATGCAAGTCATTTTTGATGTTAAAAAAACTTAATTGTTAGTTATATTTATTTATTTTCATATTTATTTGTTATAACTTTATTTTATGATAATCTATTTTTACTCTACTTTTATATTATACAGCAAATTATATATATATAATTAATGTATTACATAATATATTAATGCATTAATTGTTAATATTATTATTATTTTAGTGATGACAAAAAAAATCCGGATTTTACTTTATTTATTATTATTATTATTAATTCATTTAACAAAATATTATTATTATTATATTGATTATAATAATAATAATACCTACTATTAATTTACAGTTAATATTATTTATTTTTAAAAGTAATTTTACAAATTATAAATTATATAAAAAATACAAACAAATTAATATAGATCTAACTAATAGATTTATTAATTTTATTTTTTTCAATTAAATCTATATTTAAATTAAATGCTTTTATGTATAAATTTATTTATATTTATATAAATATTAAAAAAATACCTAATTAAAATGTTAAATAAATGATTTAAAAAATAAAATAAATTATTAATTGTTTTATCGATAAATAATTTTTTAAAACAATTTCATAATGATTAGTATGATTACAGTGATTACAGTGATTAAAGTTTTTATAAAATATTATATGTATTATAACTTGTATTAATATTTTTATTTTTTTAAAAACATAATCTATAAATAATTACAAATGTTATTATATTTCACTTAATATATATATATATCAATATATTTATATATTAAATAAATTTTCTGAATATCATGTTATTACTGTTATTTAAATACAAATTTAGTAATTCAAATATGTATTTAAATACTTTTTATTTAAGTTTATAATATTTATTTTAAATTGTATAAACTATTTAAATAATAACTGTATACAACAATTACAATATTATTATTATTATATTAAATTAAAAATATAACAAAATTGTTAGTAATTATGACGTGTTTAGACAATCTACCGGTGCATTCAATATATTGTGTTTGATTTTTTATGATTTGATTTATGGATAGTTAGCACAACTACTACAACAACAACAACATGTAAAACAATTTAATAATTTTTTTAAAAAACATTATAGATATATATATTTAATACACATTTAATATGCTAATTACACATTAGAAATTGTTGGTCAAATTAATCAATTAATTGAAATTAAGCTTAATATTAATAACATTAATTTTATCTATAATTTTTTTTTAAAAATACCAATTTTAACTAAACATAGATATTGGACTAATATTTGTTTAGTATTAAGTTTTTAATGATATAATTTATTGGATCTAAAAATAAGTTATTAATAGACAATTATGATGATTATATAATGATAAAATGCACGATATTAAATCATAAACACTTTATTATTATTATTATTATTATTATTATAAGTAAATAATTTATATTCACAATAATAATGATATTAAAATAAAAATTTTGTTTTTGTTAGATTTTCAAATGTGATATTAACTATTAATTTTTAAATTAAGATAAATATTTATTTAAATTTTTGTTTGTTTTTTTATTAAATTTATAATTATAATAATGATAATATAAAAAATGGGTACATGTACCATGTTTAATATAATATAATATATATTATATATAATATTAATGATAATTTATGTCATATTATTTTATCGTTGTATAGTTGCTGTCATATTATTAGTTAATTATTATTGTTTCTAAAAAACATTTTATATTAAATATTTATTTTATATTTTTTTCAACAAATTTTCTCATAAATATTATTATAATTGACTTAAAAAAAATTTTACTTAAAAATTAATAGTAAATTATTATTAGTATTATGATAAATATGAGATGTTATAAGTATTAAATAAATAAAACGTTTATTTTTATGTGAAAAAAATCAATGATATATTTTATTATTATATATTATATGTCAAAATATTATATATGTCTTTTGTAAAAATATTAGTTTTTTTGTGTGTGTGTGAAAAATAATTTATTATTTAATGATAATATTTATATATCAAATGTGAAATCATCTATTTATATAAATTAAATATTATATAAATTATAATATACAGGTATTGTACTGTACATTTTTTAAAAATATGAGTGATATATTTATATTAATATATGAATAATAAAATGTTTGATAACAAAAATTTGTTTGACTTAAAATAAAATAATCATCAAATATTAAATTGTAAATATTTAAAAATATTAAATATATAATAATATGATAATAATAACTAATAACTGTGTAATAATATATTTATTAATCATTAAACGTTGATTAAAATTACATATTTTTTATATTAAAATAAAATAAATAAACAATCATTGAATTAGATTATTATTATTATTATTATTGAGAAATATATATAAATAGCATAAATATTTAAATTAAAATCAGAAAAATTATTTAAATAATAAAAGTTTTTTGAAAAATATTTACTGTATAATTTATATTATATTATCAAGCACGTATGTTTAATAATAATAATAATAATAATAATAATAATAATAATAATAATAATAATAATAATAAATTTACATAATTAATGATAAATGATCAACAAATTCAATTTTAATATAATAATATAAATTACATTTAATATTTCATTTAGGTAAGTCATATATTTATATAATTATTATTTATCTAAAATCTAATTAACATTATATTTAGTTTATAACTTAAAATTTATAAATAATTTAATTTTCTTAAACTAATAATAATAATAAGTTTATTTAATCTATTTATTTATTTATTAATCAATATTAATAATAATAATAATAAAATAATTAGCATATGATTTATTTTAGACCAAAATAAATAGCATAAACAATAAACAAATATATAAATAAATTTAATATACCGTATATTTATTGTTGGCTACAAATCATAGTTTTTTTTATTTATTAATTTTTGTTTTATTTTGTTATTACTTATATTTTATTATATTATTATTATTTTGATTGTTGTTGTTGTTTATTAACAATATAAATCATAATAATATTTTTTTAAAAAAAACATTAATGATTGACCATAAACTTGAAAACTCCTTTTTTGTAATACTCTCTCTCTCTCTCTCTCTCTCTCTCTCTCTCTCTCTCTCTCTCTCTCTCTCTCTCTCTCTCTCTCTCTCTCTCTCTCTCAACAATAATAATAAGCTATAATTTATTTAATTTTTTAAAAAATAATTTATTTATTATTTGTTAAATTTTTTTAACATTTACTGTTAACTTTAGTGTAATGTTTAGAAAAAAATATTAATAAAAAAACATAAATTTATTAAATAATAAATACAATAAACTATCATAATATCGTGCATAATGTTTTTGGTTGATATGTTTTTTATAATACAATATAATAATAATAGTAATATAATATTACATTATAATTTATAAATATATATCATATGAATACTTTAATTTTAAAAATGTTATTTAAATTTTATAATATTATTTAGTAATAGATTTTGTTTAAATTGTGAATTTTTTATATTATTATTATTATTACTACTACTACTACTACTACTACTACTACTACTACTACTACTACTACTACTACTATTGATAATAATATTAATAATAAAATAATTGATGACATTATTATTAAAGTAAGTTTACATTTATTAATAGCTAAATAGTTTTTTAAAAAATACTTTAGTTTTAAACTATATTATTATTATTAAAAATTTTTATTGTTTTTATTTATGTAAATTAATTAGCCAAAATATGATATATGTTATTTTTAAAAAATATTTAATAACATTATATGATTATATATAAAATAAATCATTTTTTAACTAGTTTATTTTAATTAATATTTTAGTCTAAATTTAAAAGTATAGCAAATGTGTGCCAAGTTTACCCAAATGTTGTTTTGTATTAAAAATTTTATTTTTATAAAAATTTATTTTTAATTATTTTTAAACTGTATGTTAAAATAGTCTATTTAAAAAAAATATCTTAATATATACTTTATTTAATATTAATATTAATTTAATTATTATTAATATATTGGTAAGTTATTTGTTTTAAAAATAATTATCTTATATGACACTAATAGTCTATTTATTATTTTTTAAAATTAACTTAATGTATATTATTTTACACTAGTTTTACAATAATTGAGTTTATTATCATATATTCAAAAACAAAAAAAACTTATAAATATAATAATTTTTCATAAACTATATGAATAATTAATTAATTAATTAAATTAATAATTTAGACATCGATATAAATAACTAATTATAGTGTGCAAAAAATAAATTAGATATATATATGTTATGTAATTTATTTTATTCATTAATTATTTTTTGAAAATAATAATGTATTTTAAGTTAAATAATAATTTTTTTGTATATTATTAATTAATATTTATTGATATATAGACATAGATAATAATTTATTTTAATTTATTTTTGTTTTGTTTGTAATATGTCTCGGGTCTCATTGTACGCAACATTTAGCCAAACAATAGACTAAATTGTTTGCATTTAAATCAGGTGTGAAAACATGTTTTATTTTGTTTGTTGTTATTATTATATATTTTATCATTACTTAATAGTTTTAAAATATTCATATAAGTTATATAAATTTATATATATATATATATATATATATATATACTGTATATATACATGTTTATATGCAATATATATATATATATRTATATATATTTCTACTACTATACTGTATATAATAAATTACTATATAATACAATCATATATATATATAAATATTGAAAATTTATTTATTTAACATTTTTCATTTTAATTCATTTATATATAATTTATATCTTATTATTTACAAAAAAATTTTTTAGTGTTAATACTTACTATACAAATTGATTGTGAAATTTTTTTACTAATACTACTAATAATAATAATACTATACCTATAATTATAATACTATCAGTGATTTTGTGAGTTTTGTATAAATATTAATTCATAACTTTATACACATATATAGTATATTATAATAATATTTTTGTTGCATTTACTCATTAAATAGATATTCACCACAAAGTGTTGTATATTATTATTATTAATACACTATTTATTCACTATATTATCAATGAATGAAAAAGTTTTATTTTTTAATATTTGCTGTTAAAATAATAATAATAATATTTTTTATGATCATTAAAGTGTAAGTCAATTGATTGATTGATTGATTGTTCAAAAAATAAAAACATTAAATTATTATCAATGAAAGTATGAAAGTTTTGTGTTAAACAGTGTTAAAAAGTTTTCAAATAAACTTAATAATAATAATAATAATAATATTAAATACTATTTGAAGACAACATTGAAAAAATCTATTACAACCCATAATGATTGTAAAAACCCATGTATAACTAACTAAATGTTTTATATAATAAAATATAAATATATATAAAAAATAATTAATTAAATTTGTGTTTCTAAATTATCACCAAAAAAATGGGACCAAAAAATAATATGAATAACAGTGTAATAAATACCAATCCCAACAACAATAATGATAATAATAATAATAACGATATCATCAATGATAATGTGCTAAATGTGTCCAACAATAACCCTAATAATAATAATACTAATGATAACAACAATTATCTCAATAATGTTTACGCCGCCAACAATACCGCCGCCGACACCGGGACAGTACCTCCCAGTCCACTGTTACGTATCAACCGTATGGCCTATAGTCTACCAAATTTTAACGCCCGTTTCCGTCGGTCATCGCAAATACCGGGTGCCCGACCAAAAAGTATGACCAGCGAACGGGTACTGGAAAAAGTCAAACCCCAATGCAAATCACCAGTAGATATGCTGAAAGGTTGGTTTCCGGCCATCGGTTGGCTATCGAAATACAATCGCCAGGATCTGGTACCCGATGTTGTGTCCGGTGCTACTATTGCCGTATTTCAAGTGCCCGAAAGTAGGTTTTTATTTTTATTTATTATTTATTTTATTTTTTTAATTAAAAATATAATGTAAATAATTAGTATACTTCAAAAAAAATATTAAATATAATATAACATAGTTTAGATAATATTAGTTATAAAAAATAACTAAATGTAATTTTTTTAGACTGTAAATAAATTTTGTTTAAAAATACCTAGGTTAATTATTTGAGTTATTCAAATTGAGTCTACTATTTAAATATATTTATATATTTTTTTGACTATTATATATTTTTTTGACTATTAAATATTTTTTTTAAAAAATAAATTATAATATCATTTATAGTAACTTAAAGTTTTTGTTTTAACTTTTTTAATATTTATTACAAACTCTAACTGAAATAAATAAATAATTATTGTTTAGTATTAAAGTATATTAAGATTTTTAATTTTTTTTGTTACTTATAGATAGTAATTGAATTGAACCCATAATTGTATTTATTTATCATTTTTTAAATGTATAATAATGTTAATAATAATTAATATTAGATAATTATTTTTTTCTGTTATTAATTATTATATTATTAAATTTATGTGTAAATTATAATTAGACTTTTATTATATATTATTAGTTAGTATTTATTGATTGAATAATTATTGACAATCTATTTTATTAAAAAAAAAATTGTTATTTAATATAAAATAATTTTTTTTTAAATTGTGGGACAGGTATGGGCTATAGTCTACTGGCTCAGGTAAAGCCAGTCTATTGTCTTTATTCATCATTTTTTCCAATACTAATCTACTCATTGATGGGAACTTCCCGACATTGTTCAGTGGGTGAGTTCAATAACAATATATATATATATATATATATATTATCATTAATTTATTTATATATTATTTTGAACACAAAACAAAAATTATTTATATATTTAATTTTATGATATGTCATGTAATTTTTGTTGTTGTTGTTGAAAATTTTTWAAAATATTATTAATATTTTAACATAAATTATTTAAATAAATTTTTTAAATAATCAATGTGTGTGTGTGTTAGGTGTGTTAAATATTTTATGTAATATATATATATTGTATTATATTTTTTTTAATTGAAAATACATATAAAAATACTTTATCTATATAAACTAATTAGCTAAAATTATAAGTTACTTGAAATTGATAATGATAATAAATAAATATATTTTTTTTATCTAAATAATCATTTTAATTGCGAAATAACAAATTCAATAAAAATAATTGTGAAATATATATAAAATACATTAACATGTAATGTACATAAATTTTAATTATATATATAATAGTATATCATTGTTAATATTATAGATAAGTTAGGCTATAATAATAATATCTATTAATTTTATTATTATTATAACAACTCATAAACTATTTTATGATATGATATTGATATTTAATAATGAGTACGTGTTTTAAAATTTTTTTGTTGTAATAGTAATTATAATAAATTATTTTACTAACTTTAGGATTAGGATTTATTGTTTGTATCTATAAATTATCTATAAAATCAAAATTACTATTAAAATTTTTTTCACTTATTTACTAATGTTTTTTTTAAAAAAAGTAATAACTTCTATAAACTTATATTATAATTATTATGAAATTTAATAGTATTTTTTCTTAATTAAAATTATGGGTTTAACTATAATTTTATTTCAATTGTCAATATCAATAATCAATAAAGTATGAGTTAATATATATATATATATAATAAAATTTATAAAAATGATTTACACATTTTGCTATTTTTTTATAATGAAAAATGTCAAAAATACAATTTGTTTTATTTTGATCTTAAATGAGCTCATCATATAAATAAATTTATATATATATTAAATAAGCGAAACATATATAGATATAAATTAATAAAAAATAGTAATATTTTTAAATAATAATTATATAATATTTTTTTAAAGCATCATAAATTTGATGCAAATAATAAATTTTTATTATTATTATTATTATAACTTATGTATTCATATGTAATACAATATATTTCCGGCTGTCTATTGCTTTTTTTATTATTAGTAAAAAATTTTTTTAAAAAAATTAAAAAATAAATAGTAATAAATGCAACAAATAATAATAAATCACATGATTTTAAATTACCTTGAATTTTGAATTTACTACTAAATGATCTAATATAACAACAAATTAAAAATAAATAATAATAATAATAATAATAATAATAATAATAATAATAATAATAATAATAATAATAATAATAATAATAATAATAATAATAATAATAATAATAGATAGTTAACTAGTGCTCATTTATGTTGTTATTTATGGAAAAAAATTTTTAATAAAAAATAAAAATAATTAAACATTATAAATAAACATAAATCTTTATAAATTTTTTTTATTTATGTAGAAAATAATTTTTTTATAAACATTTATTTAGAAAATTAAACTATAAATCATTTATTATAAGTTACTTGTTATAATTTACTAGTAAATTAATTTTTAAATTTAGTAATAATTAATTTTCAACACAATTTGTTAATTAGTTGGTTAGTAATTTTAGGTTTTTTTAAATTTATAAATTATCAATTAAATTGTTATTATGAAAAATACTGTATATTTTTTTAAATATTAAAACTACAATAGTATCTGATAATAGATATTTTTTTATATATACAAATTATAAGATATTAAAATTAATTTGAATTAATTTTTAGACAACAAATTGTTTCCTAATAATGTTATATACATTTATTATTTATAAAATGCAATTATTATTATTTTTTAATTATTATAAACTAAATATTTAAATCATATAAATAAATAATAGATAGATTATAAATAAATAGATAGATTATAAATAAATAGATAGATTATAAATAAATAGATAGATTATAAATAAATAGATAGATTATAAATAAATAATACATTATAAAAAATAATAGATTATAAATAAATAATAGATTATAAATAAAAAAATAGATTTTAAATTTAAAAAATACATATAAATATAAATTGTTTAATTAACCAATAATTTTACATAAAAATATATAATAATATTATTATTATTAATTGTTTTTGAAAAAATTGTCCATTAGGCACATTTGCGGCACTGGCCATAATGACCGGTGCCATTATCAATCAGGTCAGGGAGGGCTACGATGAACACAATGTTATGTTGTCCTCACATACAATGGCATTCATACGCAATGCCAGTGAGATATCATCATCGGCTACCGGTGCTCCCGAACAGTACCGATACACCAAAGAGGAGATTGCCATTGTTTGCTCGTTTATCATTGGATGCTATCAATTGATATTTGGTTAGTATGTATAATATAAGTAATAATTTGGATTTAATTATTATTATTATTATATTTTAACAATAACTAGTACCTGTATTAATAACAATAATAATAATAATAATTATTATTATTATTGTATTTTTCTAATAACTATTACCAGTATTAATAATAATAATAATAATAATTATTATTATTATTATTATTATTGTATTTTTCTAATAACTATTACCAGTATTAATAATAATAATAATAATTATTATTATTTTATTTTACCAATAACTAAAATATTAAATTAGTATTACTAAAACTAAATAAGTAAATTATTATATACTAAAACAGTATTAATACTATATATAATATAATATAAAATACTATATACTGTATATTAAGTTATATATAATATTATATAATAAATTAAATATTTATATATATATATATATATAAATAATATTTATTTCTAAAAAAATAATAGGATTTTTAAGGCTCGGCTTTGTCTCTGTCTATATGTCTGAACAGTTTTTGAACGGCTTTACCTGTGCGGTAGCTTTTCATGTAGTTGGCTCCCAATTTCAGCATATGTTTGGCCTGGAAACCAAACCGGTTAACGGTGTGTTTACATTGGCCAAAGAGATTGCGGCCGTAGTGGCCAACATCGCCGATACAAACCTGGCATCGCTTATCCTATCGATTATCTGTACAGTGATATTGTTAGCATTCAAACTGTATGTTAACAAATTGATTGCAAAAAAGTTCAATATTAAAGTTAGTATCAGTTAATAAACTATTTTGTTTGGCCTAATAATAACTAACTGTCCCTTAAACTGATCCAGGTGCCATTTCCCATCGAAATATTCATAGTAATCGGTTCGGTAATAGTATCAAATCTGATGCAACTGGAGTCCAACTACGGTGTCAAAGTGGTCGGCCATATCGATCGTGGATTACCGACACCGGCCGCACCCTGGAATTATTGGCCACTATTTAGGCGGGTATGGTTGCCGTGTATACCCCTGTCGGTAGTGTCCTATGCTATCACCTATTCAGTGGGCAAATCGTTTGCCATTAAACACGACTACGAAATCGATAGTTCCCAGGAGTTGATAGCACTGGGCGGTAGTAATTTGTTTTCATCGTTTTTCCGATGTATACCAGTGGGCGCCTCCCTGTCCCGTAGTGCCGTCCAGGAGGGTAGCGGTGGCCGCACACAGTTGGTCTCACTGATCAATTGTGTGGGTATTTGTGCCGTTTTGCTATATTTCGGTTCATTTCTTGAACAACTACCCGATGTATGTATACATAAAAAATTAAATTTTGATTTATTTTATGAAATATATATATATTTATATATAATTTTTTTTTGTTATTGTCGATACTATATAACATATGATGTTAATGATAATTATTTTATTATTTAATTAATTAATTAATTGATTGATTGTTTTTTTAACAGTCAGTGTTGGCCACAATAATATCGGTTGCATTGAGAGCCATGTTATTAGAGATACGGTTATTCAAAAATTATTGGGATGTCAGCAAAATTGATGGGGTAATAATTATTATTATTATTTTAGTAAACTACTTATACATTGTAATAATAATAATTAATTTATAATTATGCAAAAATTATTTATTTAGTGTACTAATATTTTTTTAATTTTTGTTAATTAATTTAATTAATTGCTATTATTTTAATTGTAAAAAATGTTTGCAATAGTATTTACATTATTATTATTATTATCAAATGGTACTAAATATCAATTTAATAATTATTTTTAACTAATTATATATATTATTATTTAAACTAAACTGTATAAACACTGTTTAGTAAAATAAAAAATAGTATAATAATTAAATTTTTATATATTAATAGTTATTTATTACAATTATTTTWTATATATATATATATATATAATTTTGTTTCACTATTATTAGATTTAAATAGCAATTAATTACTAAAATAAGCAATTAAAAAACAAATCAATTGATATGTTTTATATCAAATTAAATATCATAATATATATAAAAAATAACAAAATAAGCAATTTATTGGATTTTAATTTTCTAAACATAATTTTAAAAATAAAATGTGTTATAGTATAGTAAACAGTTTTGTGTGTTTTATTTTTTAAATGCCCTTGATACAATTTGAATATAATTAAAAGTCTAATATACTGTAAATACTATATATGACATAAATATTTATTTAATATATAAAGTATATAATTTATGTCAATATTTTTTGTTTTAACAATTTAACTAAATAAAGATTTTATTATTTTTGTATAAAAATATGATAGAAATCACAACAACAACAAAAAATTATATATGATTTTTTTTTTGACTGTGATTTAGACACTAATAATAATAATAATTAAATACTCAATTATTAAAGGATAATAATAACAACAACAAAATTATATGCAAACAGTATAGAAATAAACATATAATTTATTAATCATTTAATTTTAGATCAATAGAAAAAAATATGTAATTTAATTATAAAAAAAAATTAAAAATATATATTAATAGCTACAATGTTATTATAATTATAATAACAATATTTTAAGAAAATAATATATTAAAAAATTATAAATTAATAATAATAATAATATTTAAATAATTAAATACTAAAATATATTAAATTAAAAATATTTAATATAATAATATATTTAAAAAAATATATAAATTAATAATAATTTCATCCATGTCCTTATGGTTTATTTTATTTTTTTTAATAGTCTATATGGTTGGTAACGTTTCTATCGGTAATCATATTGGACATCGACTACGGCCTATACATTGGACTAATTTGGTCGCTGATTACGTTGATCTACAAGAGTCAACGTCCCCGTAACTATCTATTGGGAACGGTAGGCGACCAGATGGACGTGTTTGTACCGTTGGGTAAATATGTTAACGCACGTGAGGTGCCTGGGATCAAGATATACCAGTTTTGCGGACCCCTACACTTTGCTAATGTCGACTACTTTACCGAAGGACTTGTCCAGAAAATTGGATTTTCGCCAAAGTATTCAACAATTTTTTTTTTGACTAAAATTAATTATTAATTAATTAATTAAAATATTATTATTATTATTATTATTATTATTATTACATACAGTATTATTAGTTACTTATTATTATTAATACATATTATTAGTTAATTATTATTATTACATATTATTAGTTAATTATTATTATTATTACATATTATTAGTTAATTAATTGATTGATTTGACTAAATAAGCTTAAAATTTTTTTGGATTTATATTTTTTTAATTTATATTTTTTATTATTTATTAATTATATAATTACAATTAGTATATTTATAAATTACATAATTAAAATACTAGTTAAATATAATAATAATAATTTTTTTATTTTTTTTTAAACAGAGAAATCAAAGAAAAAATGGCAAAACTAGAGAAATCGCACAAACGATTGTCGGATATAAATACCATCGGAAAGCCTACTACTACTACTACCGGTGCCGACACCACTACAGATACAATAACTTTACGCCATATGAAAACACGTCACTCGTATAACATGAATACCGCTGATACCCATCATCATCATCATCATCATCATCATAGCTATGAGCTCCCGGAGCTGCCCACCCACATGATCATTGACTGTTCAATGTTTTCCTATATCGATACCGACGGTATCAAAACCTTGAAACGGACAATAGCCGACTTCGGCTATATCGGACTGAAAACATTGTTGGGCGGTTGTCCGTCGCATGTGACCAAACAGTTGGAAAGGGATCACTTTTACGCTGCCGTACCCGCTCATCATATCTACATAAGCATCTACGACGCCCTACAGTACGCTCTGCAACAACGCGAACAACAACCGCCTCAGCACGTGGTGTTGGCAACGTTACATGAGGTCGAATCGGATGGCGAACCGGTAGCTGACTCAGTCGTCAAGACTAATCAGGGAACGGTAGCCAATGGTGTCCAAAATAGAGGATATATTGGCGGCGGCGGCGGCGGCGGCGGCGGCGGTGGAGTCGGCGGCCGATCGTACGATAGTTTCGATGAGATTCGCATCGATTTTGAACCGCAATTTGATAAGAAAATTAGTTTTCAAAGTAATGGTTTATGAGAGTGAGTGAGTGAGTGGGTGAGTGAGTGAGAGAGAGAGAGAGAGCTACAGGTGCTAACCTGAACTAACTAAATTGAGATACTTGTGCTCATATATATGTTTTTTTTAATGTGTTTATAATGTTGTAATGATATTTGTTATATAAGAATATTATTATTATTATTTTTGGTGTGAATTTATTTTTAATTATTTTTTTGTGGACATCTAATTAAATTATGATTAATTTTTATCATCAATACACCCATAAAACTAAAAATAGATAAATAAATTATTTAATTATATTATATTATTTTTTTTTGATACATTATTTAGGAAAATAATAATAATAATAATAATACATTAATTATGTGTGTGTGTGTGTGTGTGTGTGTGATTTGTATTTTTTAATTAATTTAATCATTTAATATGATAAATATTTGTTTGTTTATCTATTAATTTTTWWAAAAAAAATATTTTTATTATTATCATATGTTAGTTAAACAAGTTTTTTTCGGATATTGTGATTATTTTATTTATATGATATATATATATTATATTATATTATAATATTATATACATTTAAACATGACATGTATCTTATTAAATGAAATTATATRATTATATAATATAATATTTCAAATAAACTTTTATATTGTGATATCTTTATATATTAAGTTTTTWWAAAAAAGTTATTTATAAATTATTAGACTAGATTTTTATTTAAATTTTTATTTTAACAATATTATAAATAATAACATTAATAATAACTTTATTTATTAATTTATTAATTTATTATTAGTTTATATTAAGATAATTGCGAGTATATTGCAGGCCTACGGGGGTTTCAGTATATATTATATATATAAATAAAATCAATTTTTTTTAAATTAAAAATTATTTTTAAAAATTATGTTTAATTATGTAAATTGTTTTGCATTATCTCTCTGAATGATAATAATAATAAAAATTTATTTTTTTAATAATCAATAAATTTCAATAACATTTAGTATTTAAATTATATAATTTTTTTTATGTGTGTGTGTGTGTGTGGGTGGGTGTGTATTATACTAACTTATACAACTAATAATTAGTCTCATTATTATTAATTAATTAATTATAATCAAAAATTTTCAAAATGATGGCAAAATATAGCCCCTTCCCGCCGGTTCAACGTTTCGCACGCCTCCTGGACACTGCTGGTCATCGGTCCGGGACCGCAGCTGAACACACCGACACGGTTTACCTATTTTAAAATAATAATAATTATTATTAATAACTACTGTATTAAGTTAGTGTCTACCCATACCATAGGGTGTTCCTGTTGTAATGAGTCTAGAAATACCGTAAAATTAGGTCTACCGAAATGGGTTTTGGCTTTCAAACCGGTAAACAGGCTTTTATTGGAAATACGTTGAAAATGTCGTTCACAAATGTACTACAAATTGTTTGGGTGGGTGTGTGTGTGTGTGTGTGTATGGATGAGTGGGTGTCATCATTAAAATTACAATATTTAATAAAACAAAAAAAATAAAATTAAAAAAAAATATTATGTATTGATATGTATTGATATGTATTGATATGTATTATCATAGTATAGTACAGGTATTAACCACTACTAACCAACATTGTTGTCCGCAAATCAAACTTCTCGTAAAACTGTGTAATAAATATATGTGTTGTCAACAGATTTGACTGATCCCTGTCCTCAGTATCTCTGATAACATCGGATAGCCATTCAAAATGTTTCTGAGTTCGGGTAACCCATAGAAAGTAGACTTTCTTACATTGAATCTGACGATTCAGACCCGAATTGAAGGCAATATCTTTCAGTATGGATGCAAACGGTGTTACACCGATACCGCCGCCGACCAATACGGCCACATCAAACTTCAACCAATCCTGATGACCTTCGCCGTACGGTCCGTCCAGATATAGTTTCGGATACGGTCGCGATCCGAGATTATTCGGGTCGTATGTTTGGCGTAAATTTTTCGTAAACGGCCCGACGGCCCGTATATATAAGGACAGGTTGTCCTCGTGAGGTGCCGATGCCAGTGTAAACGGATGATATTCGCTGGAACTCAAGGCCAGACAGGCTATCCGTACCCATTGGCCGCTCTTGTATTCAAAACCGACCGGTTTTTTGAACTCCAGGTGCGTAACATCGGACGGATGAAGGACTGCCCGCTTCACCGATATCTCCACTTTCTTGCGGCTGACACTAATCAGCCGATCGATTGTGAATAATATCTATTTAAAAAAAATCCATTTTTTTAATAATTGTTTTCAAATCTACCGGTGCTCTTACAATAGGTATAGTAAAATACTGGTAGAATATCGGCGCCTGTACTATACGTCCCAAACCRTGCAATACCATCAGTATGTARAGTAGGGGATACAGGTTATGGGTGGCCCAGAAAGCGTTGAATATGTTGCGCCGGGAGTACTGTATGGCAAATACGTACATCAATAGGACCAGACATAGGAGTAGTACACCGGTTATACCAGTTATGGTACACCAGCACCAGTAGACAAAATCTGGCAACACATGGGATCTTTCATAGATATCAACAACAAAAAATAGATATATAAATAAAAATAGATATATATATATAAAAATAGATATATATATATAAAAATAGATATATATATATATATTATATATAAATAGATATATAAATAAAAATAGATATATATATATAAATAGATATATATATATAAATAGATATATAAATAAAAATAGATATATATATATAAATAGATATATAAATAAAAATAGATATATATACTGTATATATATATATATATATAAATAGATATATATATAAATAGATATACGATATATATATATATATATATATATTTAAAATAACTGTTTGTAGGATTGCCAGATTATGGGGGACAACAACCGCAAAAAAAAAATTATACTCACGAATGATAAAACTCCCGAAACAGACAACTAGTGTCGTCCGGATTTTGGGTGGAAATGTGGTAAAAGTTGACGGCGTGTCCTATTGAATGGATAACTATAGTAGTAGTGGTGGTGGAGGAGGAGGAAAACCAACCAACCAAACAAACAAACAAACAAACAAAAAATTAATAAAAAAAATTTTTAACGACTAATCAATCAAATTAATTACTTGACATAACCAGTGCCCAGAAAGCTATATATTTATGTAGACTGACTGCACCGTCAAACGGTACAAATCGATGGACAAACGTTTCCCGAAGAAATGTCAAAATATTTCGACACATTGTCAACAGTATTGTTGAATAGCAAAACATTTGGACACTGGCCGCACCTCTGGTCAATGTTACGCCCAGTCCGGCTATTTGCCGTAGACCTCCATGTTCTCGGAGATAGGTATAAGCTATATATATATATAGGTATGTATGTATAAGAGAGAAATATATATATAAAAAATATAATAAACAATTTTTTTTAGCAAAAATTTAGTGAACAAACAAAAAAAAATATATCAATAAATAGTTAGTATATATATATTTAGTGGGAATTTAGTGGGAATTTAGTGGGAATTTAGTGGGAATTTAGTGGGAATTTAGTTGGAATTTAATGGGAATTTAATGGGAATTTAATGGGAATTTAGTGGAAATTTAGTGGGAATTTAGTGGGAATTTAGTGGGAATTCACTGAAATTTGGCAAAAATTGTCGTTTAAAAATGCAATACAAAATGTTCATCCCCCCCCCTCTATACCCCACCTAGCTTTTTCGAGATTTTTGCCATTTTACCATACCCTTAATCCCACCCCCGCTTGAAATCGAAAACCTTTAGCAACCCTGATATATATATATATACAGTATATAAAAAATATATACTAAACTGTAGGACTTATCGATGAATATATAGACAATAATTGCCGTATAGATTGTAATCCAGAATATTTCCAATTTGTATTCATCGATACAACGCTTCCAAACGGTTAGCCATTCGGGTCCCGATCGACGTGACTCTTGTGTCTCGACTCTAAGCAATGATATCGGCATTTGTTGTCTATGTTGTTGTTGTTGTTGTTGAGGTAATTGTTTTTTCTGATCAGTTGTTCCCGTTGTTGTCGACGTTGTTGTTATTGTCGGTAAAGTTTGTTTTTTCTGTCTGTCGGTGACATCACCGAAATAACTATAGGCTCTGATCAGTGTATCGTTGGCCCGAAGTAATGCACTTTGTCGTTGTCGGCCACCACCGCCACCGCCACCACCAGTGGCTGCTGTTGTTGTTTGGCCACCACTTTTGGCCGCCACTTCCTGAATGCCGCCAACTGTTTAATTGAATGAATATTTAATTTAAAAAACAAAAATCTTTTATCAGATCCACACACGAAGTTACCATCGAAGTTGAGCTCTGCGTAACCCAATTCGTCTTTGTATTCGCCCAACAATTTCTGAAAATCTTGGAAAGTCAACTCCTGTCTACTCCGGAGTCCCGCACTTCGGAACATCGATCCGATTACTTCGTCCATCTGCTGACCCGATATCGACTGGTTGGCCAACTCGAGCATCGATCGGATCATTGTCTTGAATTCATCGACAGTCAACTTACCCGTACGGGACATGTCGTACATGTCGAACATTAGTTTTGCTTTCTGGTCGGCCGATCCCTTAGCAAAAATGATGATCATATCGAGGAACTCCCTGAACGATATGTAACCGTTGTTATCCTTGTCGACCAATGCAAACATTTGTTGGACAAATGTGGAATCGGGTCGCATGGACAGGGCGTCGGCAAATTCGTATTGAGTCAGTTCCGTACGTATGACTTGTTGGGCAGTTTTGACATTAAGTCGTTCACGATTTTTGCCACCAAATGCCTAAAAAARTAGCACAGAAAAGTAGAGGAAGAAAACAGTTTAGGTCTCAGAAATTTAGTCATCAATTTTTTTTCAGTCAAAATATAGAGAATCTTAAACAGCGGCGGCGGCGCCGGCGGTCATATCATCGCCGCTATCATCGCCCGCTATCATCCCCGCTATTATCCCCGCTATCATCGCCGCCGCTATCATCGCCCGCTATCATCCCCGCTATCATCCCCGATCATCGCCCGCTATCATCCCCGCTATTATCCCCGCTATCATCCCCGCTATCATCCCCGCTATCATCCCCGCTATCATCACCGCTATCATCGCCACCGCCGCCACTGTTTGCAGACTCAAATCAGATCAAAAACAGATACAGACGTGCGAAAAGACAACTCTGAAGAACTGTTCCAAATGTTTCTGTCGATTCTCCTTAGTATAGGCCGTCCTCATCATTGTTTTCAAATCAATTTCCTGTCTCTCCCGGCCGACACCAATCTCTTCCAAAAACAGTTCAACTTTCGACCCAAACCTTTCCCTATCGTAATACGAATCAAATTTCAACATCAAATCATATTCGTTGGTCACTTTCAGCAGCAGATAGTCCTGCCGGCGATTGGTCGACGCCTGTATATCAATGGCCCGAATCTCCCGTAGGTCAATACACCGCACGGGTTTCTGGCCATTTTCCAGTTTGACAACAATCGATTTTCTGGATGACTTGCAATTAATTTGAACGGGTCGTAGGCCTTCCCGTTTGCCAACCCATTCCTGAGCCAGAGTAATGTCATCCGATAGGGACATACGTTTCATTCGGGAATTACTTTTGCGTAACCGCTCGTTGACGGCCGTACGTCGGGCGGTCATACATTTGAGTGCCAGTAGACAACCCAAGCCAAACACACCGACACCGAAAAACGTTAGGGCGTAACTCCATTCGCTGCCCAACATGTAGTCGTAGGTATGGGCAGCGGTACAGCCGTCGTTCACGACCCGCTGACGGCTAACCGAACCCAACGATAGACAGCGTTCGGTAGTATTGAGGACTGGATCGGTTAGACAGTCATAGGCATGCAATCGGGACATTGCTTCTGTACATTCAGGGGAGATAGGATTTGATGACTCTATGGATGGATGGATAGGATGAGATCAATATTTTTTTTTTTGATGGACAGTCATATATGTCATACCTGTTGGCAATTGAAACAGTTTTGGCTGTATTTCACCAAATTTTATATCAGTAATACTGCGGATAATGTCGTAAATGGTTAACGATTGCAATCGTTTAATCTCATCGTTAGTAAACAGTCTATAGATTTATATATAATAAAAAAAATATTTAATACAGAAATTAATTAATTAATTAATCAAAAAAAAACAAAATCAAATAAATATATAGCAATACTCTAATAATAACTTTAAATAATTATCCAAAAAAATAAAAATAAATATATATTTTTTATAGATATTTAAATTATATATAATTAATTAATTAATTAAAAAAATATATCAATAAATATATAGCAAATAATAGACTCTAAAAACTTAAATAATTATACAAAAAAAAAATAAAAATAAATATATATATTTTTTATAGATATTTAAATTATATATAATTAATTAATAAAATAAAAAATCAAATAAATATATATCAAATAATACTCTAATAATAACTATAAAATAATTATCCAAAAAATAAATATATTTTTTATATCTAAATATTAGACGTGAAGTACTACTATACCTGCTATTGTTGTTTTCAAACCAAAACCGGTCACCATCGCGTATACGTCTAAACTGGTCCCGAATTACATACGTAAACAGTTCGCCCGGTCCCGTACGGGTAGTTTCCAGTAGACCGCCCACCCATATATCAATTTTATCGGTACGGTTTCGGTAAATTTTCACCAACTTATCCGCCAATACGGGACTCAATTCAATATTATATTTCCATAGTCTGTTGGCAATCGTTTCGATCGGTTGTCCGCTAAGATCTTCGCCGCCATCCAAACCTAACTCATGTCTGGCAGTCAGATAGTCGGGTAAACCGTGATCTCTGCCTTTAATATATAGATTTTAATTTATTTTATTTTGTAAAAAACAAACAAACAAACAAACAAATACCTCGCTGTATATTAATGGCCATCAAATCCCGTCGGGTAAACTCTAGCGAACCGAAAACACTTCCGCGTAGATCTTCGACAACAACATTGTCCTCGCGTTCGGCCGGCTGTCCCGTTAGACCCATAATTAGCTCTTCGAAGCCGCCGTTATCGACCAGATGGTCGACTGGTTTCCAATAGCTATTACAGGTTCGTACGATTCGGTCGTTGAACTGACCGGAATCGCCACCACCACTACCACCACCACCACCGCCACTGATGTCCAATCTGTCCACCGATGAACAGTCTCGGTTGCGTTTAATACCGCCAGCTGTGACAAGTGTATGACCGAAACGGAAAGCGGCCGACTGAAACATTATCGATATCTGCGGATCGACACTATGATCGTAGCCACGATAGGCGGGCAACGGTTGGCCAAACAGTATCGGTAGCCATTCGTTGTGTACGATCTGCTGGTAGGATGCGATCACCCATTTGCGGGCCTCGTTGTACACCTTTTCATCCGACCAATAGGGATGAGCGGCGGTCAGCTGTTCGGCCAATTGGTTGTGCCATCGAAACCATATGACACCCATTGTCAGCAAAAACGGATTTTCGTGTCCGCGAGGATTACCCAATCCTTACGGGAAAAAAATAAATAATCAATTAATAATATAATTAATAATATAATTATCTTTTATATTATTTAATGTATTTTAGAAATAATAATAATAATAATAATATATAACTTACTAAACAAACGCTTAACCGGTAACAGCCGTGGCCTCTGCTCCGGCTGTTTACTGTTCGTCCATTTGTGTGGACCCGACGGCGGCGGCGGATTGGCCATCGGTAGATTAATGTCGTTATAAACGGGAAACTCACGGCGATCCATGTGCGACGCCAGCTGACCATCGCGAAACGACCGCAACGTATCCGACCAGCCTTTGGCCGTACCGTACATAAGGCCGCCGTCCAGCCACGGCGTCACTTCGTTCAGCTGCTGACGGGGACTGTTGGGCGACAGTCCCGTATGCAACGCGTATCGCGACCTACGCAACGGCATCCACGTATGGCCAGTACTGTGCCGGTAGGGTACTAGCGAGCCGTTTGCGGCCAACACCGATCGGGGAAACTGTATCGGTATGAATTCGGGCGGACAACCGGGATTCTGGGCGTCCAATATTTCTTCGACAATTTGTTGGCCAAAAAATACAAAGAAAGCCGTTTTTCCAGTATTGGATGTCTGGCCAATTTCGCCGTTCATAAACGCCTCAGATAATAGTATAGGATTCGGTCGGTCGACGCCCGACGGCTGATAGACTCCATCCGAATATTTTGGTCCAACCAATCGCATCATCGGCTGGTCTGTCGACCGCAAAATTAATCGGTAATTCGGTGTTTCCAATATAAAATTTTGTATAATATATATATATATATATAAACTAACCGACGGCTCCTAAATCTGGTCGTCCCAAATTATTATACCAGCCATCGTAGCCCTCGTACTCGACATTGTCGTCGCCATCGACTTTTCGCAGATCAGATCCACCGCCAAAAAGCAGCCATTTTGGTATGTCTTGTCTTGAAGTTACCGACTCTGGCCGTGGCTTATCTCTGACTGTATTGACTATAATATAAATAAATAGCAATTAATTTTTACTGATATTATCAATAATATGAAGAAAATAGTCAACCATTTGTTGGACGGTTTGACGACTGTTGTCGTTGTAGTCGTTGTCGTTGTCGTCTATGATTTTGTCGGATATATCTTAGTTGAGACTGATTTGGTGTCAATGGAGTAGTAGTAGTAGTGGTTGTTAAGCGGTGGCGACGACGACTTTTTTGGCGGTCAACTACCGACGATATCATCGATTCAAACGCTGGTAACTCATTGACTAACCGATTGTCATATCTGTCGGCATCGGCGTCGGTGAGGACGCCATCGATGTTGTCGTCACCTCGTCTGGAGTCGACAGCAGTGGTGATAGTGATTGACATACAATATAGCCATAAATAGCATACAATTAGTGATGATATTATTTGCAACATATTTTTTTAAAAGGCATTGATTGATGATAATAATTATTATACTAAAAATCATACCATATTTTGTCAGTATATGCCACACACATACCGACCCACACATAGTATGTATGTCTTTATGAAGCTCCGGTATTAAAGGAAATACTATATCCTCAGAAGTAGCTATACATTTCAGGATAGACTAAAGTTTCTCATATATATATTGATTTAATATACAGTATATCATATATATATTGATTTAATATACAGTATATACTGTATATTATATAAATATATACATAAATAATTACTTTTAAATACATTATTTCCTATTTTTTTAAAAAAATACTTATTAATAAAAATTTTATTATTGAATAGAAATATTGAGTATAAATAGTTTTATTTTATTTTTTTTGTTAATTATTATTTATTTACATTAAAATTATAATATTTTTTGATAAACAAACTTATTATTATTATTTATTTATTTTTTGTATATTGATTAATAATTTCAGTATTTATAATATATATATTTTTAATAATTATTCATTTTTTAGTAGTAATGATTATAAATATATTATATTTAATATTAAATCATATAATTTTAATACTAAGAAACAGTGAGATTTTTTTCAAATATTAATATTTATTAGTTTTAATGATTGATTAATCGAAAACTTATTAATTTTGAATATATATTATAATATATATAATATATATATATATATATATATATATATATATATATATATATATATATATATATGAAAATATTAAACATAAAAAGTATTATAATTTTATTCATTAAAAAATATGCAAATATTTTATGGAAAATAATAATAATTTATATAAAATTATTTATAGAATATAATTTATATTATAGTTTTCAAATTAAAATTTCTGAATAATTGATTTTAAAAATTATCAATAGATCTATTGATATGTAAAATATTGATATATATATAATAGTAATAATAATAGTAATGATAATAATAAAGTAATTATCATATTTTTTCATTTATTTGAAGACATATTAATATATATTACTAATGTATCATAATATTATAATAATAATAACTACAAACTATTATATTTCGCAAATTACAGTTAATATGTATATAATTTTGTCAATTTCTGTCACCTTATAAAACATAATTTTGAATAAATATTATGAATGATCTAAATATACATTATATACAGTATATATATATATATATATATATATATATATATATATATATATATATATATTGTATATCCAAAACACATAAAGCAATTATTATTAGCTATTATTATATTTGAGAAAGAAAAAAGTGATTGCATACTAATAATAATTTAAATAAAAAAAATTTGTTTATAATTTATATACACATAATAACAATAACTGCTATTAAATTTATATATTTAATATGAGTATTATTATTATTATTATAACTCGACGTTGACTGCATTTTAATAGTCAAATTTGGCTAATTATAAATATATCATATTTATGTAATACATATACAGGTAGTTAACTGTTATTATAGTAGTATTATTAAGGTATAGTTGACTACAGTTTTGCTGTAGGCATCGGGTGATCTATCTATGCCGGTGTGTGTGTGTATGTGTGTGTATGTATGTATGTGTGTGTGTGTGTATGTATGTATGTCTGTGTATGTGTATGTATGTATGTGTGTGTGTGTATGTATGTGTGTATGTGTATGTATGTATGTATGTGTGTGTGTGTGTGTGTGTGCCCACAATGGCCAGCCATGCGTTTAAATAGCAACTGATTTTATTTTAAATGTTTGTTTTGAGTGTAAGAAATATGCGCTAATATACCGCTACAGTCTAATTATATTTAGATTTTAAATAATATTTTTTTGTTAAACATGTAAATTATGACTATATTTTATAATATATATTCATTATATTTCTATCAATATATATATACACTAATTTTTTTAACAAAAAAGGATTTGATTGTATTACTACTAAATATGTATCTAAAAAAAAAGATTTCATCTCTAAAATGATAATTAATGCATCACTTCATATTGTTTTTGACCTAAAAAAATAAGTTTTTACTGTATATATAATTTTTAATAATATTTTCAACTAATTTTACCCCAATATATATATAAATATATATATATATATATATTATATAATAATTATTTATTATATAGTATTAGAAAAACAATACATCAACAAAATTGTTTTTATTTTGATGTGTGTATGTGTATGTATGTATATGTATGTATGTGTGTATATGTATTTATGTATGTATGTATGCATGTGTGTATCTATGTGTGTGTATGTGTGTGTATGTATGTGTGTTTGTGTGTCTATCTATCTGTGACATAAAATTTATAAAATAATTGTTTTTTAGTTTTTTTTCATTAACATATCAAACATAAACTTAAATAGAAAACTCATTAAAAAAAAACTTTATGATTATTATATGATTTTTGTTGTTGTAAGGGAAAGAAAATTAGTTTTTATTTTCTATGTTGTCTTAAAAATAACAATTTTTTTTAATTTTCAACAAAACAATACTATTTTTTTTTGTTATATTTGTTTTCTCCAGACAACACTTTTTATTTTTTTTATTAATTTTTCCTATTTTTAGTTACAAATATTTGATACATATTTTTGGTTTACCAATTGATTTGTTATTATAGTAATATTTGGTGTGTATTGTGATTGTTATCTCTCTCTCAACAAAAATTGTCTGATTTTAGTTATAAATCAAATATGTTTTGGTTAACAATGTTTTGCAAAATAAGTTATATATTTTAAGTAAAACATTATTATTTTATTAATCAAAAAAAAAGTGAAACAATAAGTTATATTTATTAATCAAAAAAAAGTGAAACAATATTATATATTAAGTTTTTAAAACTATATCAACTAAAATGTATCAATAAATTTAATCAAACATTGATTGTAACTTAAAAACTATTAATTATTTATATATAAAACTAAATAAACTAAAATTATCTAGTTAATAAATAAATTTCAATATAAAAAAAAATCAAAAAATGCGTTATAATTTGACCATGATGATGCTAATTGTTTACCTGGGACTGGTATTGAGCACCTGGATATCTGGTGCCTACCATCAGCTGCCACTGTATCAGACGGCCAATCAGGATATGCTCAAGGGTTTCATATTGGGCGCACTGTTATCCAGCCAAAAGCATCCACCTCATCTGCTCAATGTACTACCGATGCCCTTCTATAAGTAAGCATACTAAAAAAAAATCTAACTGAGCGCTTAAAAACACAATGTTATCCCATCAATTAGCTCAATGGGCTCCTATGTCGGACCCCAACCACCTCCCTATTCAACGCAAATTGCATCGACAGATGATAATAGCAATGATGACCAGCCATTTGATGAGTCGTCGTCATCGTCAGCCCAACAAAAACAACAACAGTCAACTGAGCACCAGTACCAGGACGGTAGTCAACAATCACCACCGGAGCCAACAAGTATGCCGCAGACCATGAGTACCACTACAGCCACAAAATCGGTAGCTTCGCGACCACTGCACCAGCAATCAATGGACTCGTACTATACTAGTGGTGATAATAATAATAATAATCGTCATCAGCAGGTGCTGATCACTGCCGCCGCCGGTACCGATACCGTTCAGCCCCATAGCTCTACCAACAGTGTATCGTTGGCCGACCAGCCAATCATGTCTACTATGGATACGATTAACAAAAATCTAGGACTACCGCCGAGTCACGCCATCATATTGATGATAGTACCGGCCAATGGCGACGGTAGCGGTGGTAGTGGACAGTCGTCTAATAATACCACCAACAACTCAATCGATACGGACGCAGCCGACCATCCGTACGGCAAGGACAACAATATCCGTACAAACGCCGTAAAAGTTGGACCAAAAGTGCTGAACCCTAAAGGCTGGAAACCAGGTATGTTAATATAGTTTTTTATATGACTATACACTATGACCTACCTGTCCACTCCACACCCCTCCTCCACCCCTCCATAAGGAAATAATATATAATTTCAATGTGATCTACATATATATAGTGCCAAAATTAACTACATTTGCACCGTCGTCGACACCAACTGCTAGCACAGCAGGTGGTGGTGTAGTAGAGCACAGTGGCTATGGTCCCAGTGATGATGATGACACCCGGCTGTATACCGTTACGGCTGATATGTCCTATAATCCCGGTGCTAATCATCATCGTCATCAAAACACCAAACGACAACCACCCTTTTCGGTACATCACTTGAGTATTGGCGATACCAGTGGCTATGTTAAGGATAAGCCCTCCACTTCCTCCTCATCGTCATCGTCGCGACAACCGAACAGTGGACTGCATACCAGTGCCAGCGATAGAGGAAATACATTAAACCAGAGACCGACAGCACCCAGCAGTGGTCTATACGGTGACGATAAGCGCCAGCTATACGGAATAGTTGAGTCGACAATCGATGCCGATTATAGGCAACCACCAGCCGGTGCTGGTGATGGTAGTGCTGCTGCTGCTGATGGTGGTGGTGCTGATAGTGACAGTACATATAGAGGAGGAGGATCGGGTGATGATGATAGTAGACCCTATCATAGAAGCCAAGTAAACAATAGGTATATTGAAAAGTCACAGTTTGGTATGAGAAACAGGGACAGTATGTTTGATGACTAAAAATATACATGTGCTGTATAATTGTATAAATATTATTATTAAAAAAAAACTGTATAAACATATCGTAGATATTAATATATATATATAATTGAATTAATAATTATTATAATAAATATTTTATTTAAAAAAAATTTATGTATAATTTATATTAAATTGTATAATTTTTTTTTTAAAATTGTTAATAAAAAATTTATATTAATATATCTATAATAAACAAATTGAATTATTTTTATTTATTATTACTAAATTAAAAAACTCAATTAAAAAAATGCAAATAAAATGTGAGAAAATATTATATACAATATGTAAAACTAATTATTAATATTTTAATTGTTTATGTAGAAGTTTTTATAATGTTAATTTTATTTTAAAAAAAAATAATTAATTAATAGAATTATTTTGAAATAATTAAATCATTTTTTTGTGTAAAGTTATAAATATAATTTGTTTAATAAATAAATAATAATTTTAATTAACAAAAAACAAATCATTCAATTGAGTTTAATATATGTTTAATAGTTTTTTTTATAGAAATTTCACAATTATTTTATTTTTATTATTATTTCTCATTTTATTTTTTTTAAAAATATGTAGTAATCTATATAACAACAACAAAAATACAAAAATATTTTTTTTATATAAAAATAAAATCAGTTTCAATAATAAGAGTATATATATATATAATAATTATTTGAAACAAAAATGTCACATTTGTTTTAGTAAAAAGGATTAAATATATATTTTTTAAATATTAATAATAATAATAATAATACTTATCTATATGTTTGCAGTTTTTATTTCCTTTTTGTTTTTGATAAAAATACTATTTCCTTAATTTCCCTTGAAACTTTTTGTTTTTTTATATTAATTTAAAAACTTAACATAAATTTATATTTGATTGTAAATATATATATAATTGTAAGTATTTTCAAAAAATCATATATAAATAGTTATAAATTTGTAAAAATTATAAAATTTATTTTTCATCCAGTAATCGCAATAATAATTTATTTTTATTATATATAATAGTTGAATCAAAAAATTGTTTTTTCAAAATTAAAATAGTGTTAATTTAATATAACTTTAATTTTTTTTAAAAAACTAAACTAAAAACAACTGTATTATCTGTAAAACAAATAAATGTATAATTATTTAATTAAATTTTGTTTTTTTAATAATTAATTTTAATCTATAGTATAAATAATTTTTGAAATTATTATTATTATTAATACTATTATTATTATTATTTAGGTGTCTATAAGGTAACCACACATTGAGAGGACATACACCACACCCACACAACTACACCCACACACAAACAATGAGGACCTACGCTAGTCTAACGATGCAAATAGTGACGGCGGCACTGATTATATTGAAACGCGAAGAAATACACAAACAGACGGCCAGCCGTGACAAATGGTTGGACTCATACGACTACATTGTAGTCGGTTCGGGATCGGCCGGTGCCGTAGTGGCCAATCGTTTGAGCGAAAATCCTAAAATCCAAGTTCTACTACTGGAGGCGGGCGGTCCCCAAAGTGTCGTTACCGATATACCCGAAAATTATATACAAAATTTGAACACCGAATACGATTGGGGCTACAAAAATGTCCGCCAACCGGACGTTGGACTGGCCTTCCGTGATCAGCAAATACCGCAAAATCGGGGCAAAGTATTGGGCGGTTCCTCGACATTGAATGCCGTAATCTTCAATCGGGGCAATCGTAAAGACTATGATAATTGGGCAAAAAACTACGGGGCCTCGGGCTGGAGCTATAAGGAAGTGTTGCCGTATTTCGTGAAATACGAAAACAATACCGATCCCCAGATTGTGGCCGACAGTCCCGGCTATCACGGAACCCAGGGTCCCGTACAGATCAAATCGTGGCCATCGCCCGAACCGATAATGCTGTTGCATCAGAAAGCCCTGAATGAATTGGGCCACAAGTCTACCGATATCAATGGTCCGCAACAAGTGGGTACCAGTTTGATGCAAACTTTTCAGCGACTGGACGGTATGCGGTCGAGTACTGCCAACTCATACCTGGATCCCAATCCCTATCCAAATAATTTGCATATAGTTACGGGTGCGTTGGCCACTAAAATATTGTTCGGTGCGGTCAAGGGCTTAGAGGCCGAGGTAGTTGAGTTTCATCGGGCGGGTAAACTTCATCGGGTTAAGGCCCGACGCGAGATTATTGTCAGCGCCGGTATGTAATTTAAAATACCTGTATATATATATATATCAGATAATAACCGATTAGTCTATTTGTTTATTTAAGGATCGGTAAATACACCGCAACTGTTGATGCTGTCGGGTATCGGACCCAAAAAACATCTGAAAGACATGGGTATACCCGTCAAAGCCGACTTACCGGTCGGCGAATTCCTTAAAGATCATCCGTCTCTCAGTCTGAATACATTGGTCAGAGATGAACGTACAGTCAATCCCGCCGGCGAACTAACCATCCGACAGTTGCACCAGTTTTTCAATAACGCTTCGGGACCACTGACCGAGTTTTTCCATTCAATTACATACCTGAGCACCAAATACAACGACGACAAAGAGTTTCCCGACGTAGCCTTCGAGACGATAGGTTTGTTGTTGTAGACCAGCATTTACTATAACCCCGGAAACCCGTCTATATATATATATATATATCAGGGTTGCAAAAGGTTTTCGATCTCAGGGGGGGGGGGGGGGGGTGAAGAATTTTTATTGAATTTTTAAACGACAATTTTTCCCAAATTTCCAATAAATTCCCAATAAATTCCCAAAAAATTCCCAAAAAATTCCCAATAAATTCCCAATAAATTCCCTATAAATTTCCACTTAATTCCTACTAAATTTTCATTAAATTCCCAATAAATTCCCACTAAACTCCCATTAAATTCCCACTAAATTCTCTATAAATTTCCTATAAATTCCCATTAAATTCACTATAAATTCCTATTATATTTACTATAAATTACTTATAAATTCCCTATATATATACTAATTATTTATACCACACACCCCTAAACCAGTACAACGATTCCCGGAGAGCCTGGAGGTGACAGTAGTCAATGAGTACGAGGACAGGGCTAAATGGGACAAATATTACGAGCCGTTTCTCGGAAATTACTATCTGTTTATTCAGCCAATACTCAAACGTGTCAAAAGTTACGGTACCGTCCGATTGGTATCCGCCGATCCGTTTGACTATCCGCTTATTGATCCCCGATTTTTGTCGGACAAACGTGACTACCAGACCTTCTACGAGATAACCAAATATGTACTGGAATTTATCGAACGTTCCTCGTTTAGTAAATCGGTTGTCCCATTGAAACCGATACCCGGTTGCAGTTTTTGTCGACTAAAAAGTGCCCACAACTGTGACACATATATCCGATGTTTGATTAGACAGATAACCCGGACTGGGTATCATCCGGTGGGTACCACCCGAATGGGTTCGCTTGAAAGAGACGATGTGGTGGTCGATCCGCGACTTAGGGTCAAAGGTGTCAATCGGTTACGTGTTTGCGATGCCTCCATAATGCCCGAACTGGTCAACGGTAATACTAATGCGGCATCGATTATGATCGGCGAAAAGTGTGCCGATCTGGTCAAAGAGGACGCCGGCGGCGGACAGTATAAGGACGATAAGGGAAACGGTAGACAATGGGAACGGGAGGGCAATGATGGTGATGAACGGGATAATTATAAAAAACCGTACGCCGATAGACGGCCGAAAAATAATCGGTACAACGATGATGACAATGATGGTTACGATAATGATCGGCGCCGCCCGGCCGGTGGTGGGGATGATGATGGTAGGGTACGGTACCCCAGACCTGGCCAGCGATACCCGACCCGTGGTTGAGAAACAAAAAATTTGTTTTAATTGAATTTTAATCGATTAATCTTATAGTTTAGTCAATATAGATATATAAATATATTTTTGAAAAAAATTTCAATTTATTATTATTTAAATGTTTTTTTTCAATGAGTTTCATAATACAGTTATAATGAGAAAAAAATAATAATGTTTTTTTTTAATATAAATTATTTCAAAATTCATATAATTTTTTGTTTTTGTTTTTTATTGGTTTCCTCCCCCCCCCCGAAAAAAAAATTTATACCCAAATAAATCTCAAAAAAATAATTTATGCATTTATTGGTATATAATTAACCAATAATTTTGTTTTTATTTGAAATGATAAAATAATTTTATGAAAAAAATTAAACAAATAAATAAATTTTGAACACAAAATTATATTAAACAAAATGAAATTAATATTATTATTATTATTATAAATCTTTTAAATAAATAAATTAAATATTTGTCGGTTTTTGGCACAAAATACGTCCAAATGTTGACCGAAAAGTCGGTACAAAATAGGCGTAAATAAACGGATTGATCGTTGAATTCAATAAACCCAACCAAATAATCGTCTCGTTTAGTGTCAATGGTATGGATTGGCGGTTAATATAGACGGTATAGACGATAACAAACGGTGACCAACACAGGAGAAATAGGCCGGTAATGATGACCAATGTTTTGGCCACTTTTCGGTCGCGTTCGGCGTAAAACCTGAGGCCTCGCCGTATGAACGATGGATAGCGTACCGAACAGGTACTGCCGCATACCGATGCTTGACGCGGCCGTTTGATGGCCGCCACCACCACATCGGCAGCTGTTACGGCCGCGGAAATAGCAGTGTCGGGATTGTTGGCGGTATTGTTGTTGACCATCATTGCCATCATTTCGGGACTGTTATCGGTAGTTACGCAACTGGTCTCCGGTATGGCCAACGGTATGGCCAGTCGTTGGTCGTTTCGGTTGTTGTCTTGTTGTCGGTGTTGATGATGCTGTGAGTGTCGGTGTTGTTGTTGTTGTTGCCTATATTGTTGGCCATTATGTCGGCGTTTATTTCGGGCACTGATACGTGCAATCTGTTATCAATTATTTTTTTAATTTAATTTTTTTTTTGAATTATATATTATATAAATATATTTTTAAAATCTATATAAACTATAATTAATTAAATATTATTTAATAATTAATTATTTATTATTTAACTTAAATCTGTATAAATCACAAATTAAATCATAAATTAAAGCATATATATATATATATAATTTTGTAAATTATATTATTTGTTTTATTAAAATGCATATATATTATATATGTTATATAATATATTATAAATTTATATGCATTTTAATAAAACAAATACTATAATTTACAAAATTATATATATATATATTATATATATATGCACTTTAATTTATGATTTAATTTTGATTTATATAATATTATTATTAATTTTGTTATTAAAATTATTWATATATAATTTTGTTGTTGTTGTCGATAAATTGGATTTAATTAAAATAAATATCTGTACTGATATTTTCTCATTAACTCAAAAAAATAAATAAATTGAAGGCACCGGTAGTTCAATTAGTTTAGTACAGTATAATACCAGTAGTACTATACTAATACTGTATTAAACTTTATATAAATACATCAATACTACTGTATAGTTATATACAGTATTTAATTAATATCATTATTATACAATATTATACATTATAGAGTATATAATACAATATACAATCTAACATTATATAACTTTGTTTACATTACTAGGATTACCACTCCATGTATTAATATAATATAATTTTGATTAAATTGATGATAAAATTTAATTATAATAATAATAATATGTTACTAGTAGTAGTAATAGTAGCATAGCATAAATGTAGCAATCAATTTATTGACCCACATCAATAATAATAATAATAATTATTATTATTATTATTATTACTTATATCTAAATTTAACTTGTTTCAATAATAATAATAAATATTAATTTACTGAAATAACTTACTAATACATTAGATTTTATTTTTTTTAAAAAATAAAATATAACTATTTAAATAAGTTTAAATTAAAAACACATTAAATGATTATATTTTATAATAAAATACTTAAGTAATTATTTTAATTAATTAATTAAAATAAAATATACTGTATATTATTAGTAATAATATTTTTAAAAAATAATATTAAAAATCCATTAGTATATTCACTTAATTGTACAGTAGTTTTAAAATAAATATTTATTTTATATCAATACTCTATATTTATGAATATTATATATATATATATATTAAACATTTAAAGTAACTATTTATGAATTTTAATATTTATATTAAATAAAATAAATTTTTCCAGAAATTTTAAAAGTAAAATATTTTTGAATGTTATGTTTATTTATTAAAATCAATTATTATTATTATTATTGCACTTTAAATGTTTGCCATTTAAATACTACTACTACTTATATTATTAGTTAAATAAAAACAAAAAATTTTGTTTTCGTATTTTATAAATAATTTTTTTTTGACTATTGATAAAAGTTTTTAAAAAATTTTCAAAAAAATATATATAAACTATTTATAAATTTTTATAACAAAAATGTGCAAAAATGTTAAACTAAAGTATTATTATTAAATAATATTATTAATATTATAAATAGTTAGTTATTATAGTTACTTTACATACCCTATAAATGAGTGAGTAAAATACAATTATAATCGGCACCGGTATGTAAAACGTGATGACCATACCGAGTAGCCGATAGCCGACCGCATGATAGCCGCTACAACGGGGCTGTTTGTTGCTGATACTTGTCCATTGGACACTACGCCAGCCCATTAAGGGTAGACCAACAAACACAATCGGTACCACCCATACGCCGATAACCATAATTATGATACGCTTACGGGATCGGGCGGTCAACAGTGGACTAGGATTATGCACACGGCTAACTACAATCCATCGGTCGATGGCAATGGCCATCAGATTCAATACGGATGCCTGCGAGGACAGTATGTTTAGCTCCAGTGCCAGATCGCATCGGAACTGGAAGGGCCAGTAGCCGAACAACGCAATGGTCAGCCGCATAGGCATAACCAGCAAACCGACCAACAGATCGGATACGGCCAACGAAAATATCAGACAATTGCTGGCCGTTCGTAGGCTTTTCTCCACACATGCGGACACAATGACCAATATGTTGCCCAATACAGTGGTCAGTATGATAACGGTCAGTATGGGTCCCAGTATTAGATTTTTTACGCTCAATAACTGTCCGTACGATTGATGATACTGTTGTTGTTGGTGTTGGTGTTGGTGCTGCTGCTGATGATTAGTATAATAATCGGTATGATTGGCCAGTAGGCCGATGGCCGACCAAACTATAGTCATATTGTTTGTCATATTTTTTTTTTAATAAAAAAATATTATTATTATTATTGATTCACATAGTATTCACATATACAGTAAGATTACAGATCAAAAAAAATAAATAATTATAATATTTTTTTTCAATTATATATTAATATATATTAGTTTTATTTTTTCACAATTGATTTTAATTAAATTCATAATTTAAATACTAATAATCTGCTTATTTGAATAAATAAATAAATATTATTCATATAATATTTTTTTTAACTTTCCATAAATCTATTCAACAATTTATTCAACATTATAATTAAAAAAAATTGACAAATTATTAAATCACTATATTAACAAACAAATTATTTTTTTAAAAAAAAATCTGTTATTATTTTTATTTATTTTTTTTGTTGAATAAAATTAAGATAAAAATCAAATACATTTATGCACTGATAAGTATATACAGTACTCTCATAGATAGTGTATCACAATTTTTTTTGGTATCAAATATGTTAATAATAATAGTGACTAATAATATTAAGATTGTATTATCATTTTTTTGTTAAAAAAATATGTTTAACAAATTTTCAATGAATATATATATATATATTTTTAAAAAATACAAATAACTTTTACACATAAACACACCAAACATTAGTATAAAACTATTTAAAAACTAATAAATAATTTATATGTCTATCAACTATCACTAGCTCTCTATCATACTATCGATAGATAGATAGATAGTCTACTGTACTCTAGATATACTGTATATAATGAAAATCTGTATATTTTTGGGTTAACACATAGATATATATTATATACACATATATTATATAACCCAACAGTTTTTACAGTACAGCTACAGTTGTGTTTAGGTTAGTATAGAAAAAAATAGTCATAAAAATAAATATATACTCTATTTTGTACGGTATGTCTATGCGACTGATTATATAACAGTGAGTGAGTGAGTGAGTGAGTGAGTGAGTGAGTGAGTGAGAGAGAGAGAGAGAGAGAGTGAGTGAGTGAGTGAGWGAGTGAGAGAGAGAGAGAGAGAGAGAGTCGGCATATAAATTCTGTATAGACATCCATAGATACAAAAACACATCATTGATAATAATATACAGTAGACTATCTCCTCTCTCTCTCTCTCTCTCTCTCTCTCTCTCACTCACTCACTCACTCACTCACTATTAGTGTGTGTGTGTGTGTGTGTGTGTGTCAAACATTAAACACCATTGATTTGTATGATATACAGTATAGTTGATTGATATAAATATACATAGTTTTATAACACACACACACATAAATTTTTATATTTTGCTATTTAAAAGTAATGCAAATAAATATTTTTGATAATTTTTTTCTTAAAAATAATTATTAAATTTTCTGTTAGTAAATGATAATAATTTTAAATAATAATAATTTTAAATAATAATAATTTTAAATAATAATAATTTTAAATAATAATAATTTTAAATAATAATAATTTTAAATAATAATAATTTTAAATAATAATAATAATAATTGATATTTTCTTTACTGTAACGATTAATCAATAAAAATTTAATGTAATGTATTTCAATATTATTTAATAACATAATGTATTTACATTGCTAGATAAATACACTAATAATTTATAATTAATATTACGATAATATATTTTAATCTAATAATTAGTATATAATTTTATTTCTAATAATCTAAATATAAATTTTCCTAAACTCATACAAACTAAATAACAAACTAAACTTTATAATATTTATGAAATAAAATTAAATCCAAATAATAATATTATAAAAAAAATTTTATAAGCTTTAATTTATTTATTTTAGTTCAAATAAGTTTATATCATATATGATTTACACTTTAATTATATTTAAAAAATWTTTTTTTAGTAGCTATATATATATATTTATTTATATAAATTATGTATATTTTTTAAGGGTAAATGCCAACAAAAAATTCAACTAAATTTTTATGTTTATTTTATGATAGTTTACTAGTTTTTAATCTAATATAATTACAATATTAATAATAATAAAAAAATAAATTGCAATTATGTTTTAATAAGCTTATTGCACAAAAAAATTAATATCATATAGTTATACATGTATTTTATTGCGCAAACAAAAAAAAACACTCATACAGTATATCCTATTTATTATTATTATTATATACATAAGTTATATACCGGTATTAATATAATTAGTAATAATTTTGTTGGTTATTGCATAAGCTGTATAATTTATGAATATATATATATATATATGACATTTAAAATAATTATAGCGATAAACAAACAAACATAAAAAAAATATTATATAAATATTAAAATATCTTACATAACATATATTGCATGTAATTATTATCATACATATATAAAAAAAATTATTGTCTCTACATATATATTATATTTACATATAAATAGATTAGAAATTTAATTATTTACATTTTACTTATTATATTATACCGTGTATTATACTTAAATTTTATAGGCTTTATTTGATATTGATTGATTAATTAATTAATTAATAATAAATATTTAGTACTACTACTACTATGACTAAATGTTTGCTATATATATTAAATTATTTATTATTAAATTAAAAACAATTTTGTATTAAACACTCTATAATATTAGTTTTATTAATAATTTTAATAATAAAACATATCTAAAGTTATATTAATAATAAATAGTTTATTAATAGTTTTAAAAAAACTAATAATAATTGAATTTAGTTTTTATTTATTGCGGCATAATATAATATATATATTATAATTTTCATAATTAATTTAATTAATTAAATGTACATTATTAAAAAATAAATATAACTAATTATTTTTTTTAAATATAAATTAATAAAATTAATTTTTTAATTTTTTTTGTTAATCATGTATATTAGTAAACAATTATATTTAAATATTTAATATAAAAAAATAAATGTTATATTACTGTATATTAAAATATTATATTTTCAAGTACATATTATTATGTTATTTTTTGTGTATTTATTATATTTTATTATATATATATAAACTGTAGCTATAACAACCCCCCTATTTACCCATGAATTTTTAGTACCAGTTTTTTTATATAGTAAACAATCAATCAAATAATCAATATTAATTATACCATATACTACTAGCTATTGTCACCTTGATACTATATTTTATAAATATATTATGACTATAATATAATATTAGTTATTGTTATTTAGTTATGCGTATGAATATTATGATAGCAAAAATAGACAATAATATTAATAATATTTAGTTTTTATTTTTGAAATACTTATTAAAAATATATTTAAAAATATTAAAAAAATTAAAATTTACAAAACAGTTAAATTCAGTTTAAGTTTTTAATTTTAATATAAAAAAATTTGTTTAAATATTAATTTTTTGTGTCTCAATAATTATATCAACAAAATAAATAATATTTTATAAGTAAGACATAGATTTAGTAATATTATAATATTTTGTTTTATTGAAAAAATAACAATTATTTCAATGTAATAGAAATTTTCAAAAAAAAAAATTATTATTATAATAATAATTTTTCTACTAATTTAATCTAAATTATAATAGAAAATATCATTTAATCCTAAATTTTATTATATTAGTGTAAAAAAATAAATAAATATTTATTTATTAAAGTTTTATTATCAACAAAAAAAACTAATTAATTAATTAACTAATTATTAAATTTTTTTAGGAAAAATACCGATTCCTATTCAACACATTTTTTTGTGTCTCAATTGATTAAAAAATGTTGGCCAACCCATTGACCCGACAGTCGGTCCMKCAAACGGTCAACAACAACAACGAGTGGTCAAAAATACGTAAACTAGTATTTACTGTATGTCTATTAGGACTATGCTATCAAATTTATAGGCTAACTGTACGATACTATCGGTACGATACGGTTATCGAAACCCGTAAACTAGAGGACAGTGGTCGGGGACAGCCATCGACGATAGACTTGCCGGCCATTACTCTGTGCACCGGTACCTATGTTGCCTATTTTCGTAGTTCATTGCGCAACCAATTTCCCGAACTACAGGCCCAGTTGGATGCCATCGATCGGATGACCACCAATAGTACAMCCGATGATGATAGGGAACTGGAAAAAGAGTTCAAATACTACCGGCAGGTATGGCACCAGTCGATGATTGGCGACTATTTCCGTCAATCCATACAACACTCGGATATGTCCTATTGTCTGCTCAATCAGCCGACAGTACACATGCAATCCAATCAGTGGACATTGCGTAACAATTTGTGTTCAAATGTGGCCTCGGTTTTGGAGTCACGGGTCTCGCCCTATGGCAAGTGTTTTACGTATTTCAGTCGACAGGACGGCGAGTTTCGGGATGTCTCCGACATGCAGATGAAATTAGATGACGATTTTGTCGGTCAACAATCGGACGGTACAGTACTGATCAATCTGGTCCTATGGATGGACAACTTTACTACCGACGGACTACCAGCCCAATCGTTGGACTCACATTTGGGCCGTTTGTTTAAAGCCCAGACCAATCGGATCTATATGTTTTTGCACGACGGCTCACGTATGCCCACGTTTGACCAAAATGATGCCATTGTTATACAACCGGGCAAACTGTATGACATGCGCTTCTGGACCAGCGATCGCCAGTTCCTTCAATACCCGCACAACAACTGTTACGACTATACGCAGAACATGCGACCGCAAACATCGGCGGCCAAATCGCGCGACCAATGTATCCGACATTGCTATCAGAAACATTCGGTCGACGATCATCGGTGTCTGTGGCCGCGCAGTCCGCTGGTMAACGATCATCGTTTGAGAGATCGGCATCCGATCAGATACTGTCGCGATTATCGGCTGATGAATAGTTTGCAACAAATTTATCGGAAATGTTTGGCCAATTGTCGACCGGATTGTCATCAAACTGACTATCATTACGATTATCAAACCCAAGATCATCACTATATTATGAATAAACCGGTAAATTGTAATTTATTTAGTATTAAACTCTCTC